AAAGCCTCCAGAGCCTGGGGAGGGCTGGGCCCATTTTTCGTCCTTCCCATGCTCTCCGAGGCTTTCTTGGAGCCTGGGGAGGGCAAAAATGGCTTCCCCTGCCCCCCCCAAAAGCCAGAAACGGATCATTTCCAAACTTCTGGTTGGCCTGTTCTGGTCACCCTCTCCACGCTCCAGCGGCTTTCCTGAAACCTGGGGAGGGTGAAAACATCCTACCCCAGCCCTCTGGAAGGCAAAAATCAGCTGGCCGACAAATGCAAGCACCCTGGAGCTGATAACTTGCATGCCGGCAGATGTGGCTCTACGTGCCACCTGCGCATGCTTGCCAGTTTCACCATCACAGGTATAGATAATCCTCAATCTAGGACCACCATTGGGACTGAAATCTTGGTAGTTGAGTGTACAGTTAAGTGAGAGATCCATATGACAACTTTGCTCAATGACCACAATCCTGGCACTCCCAGTTGTTGCTATTAAGCAATCTCCTGGGTCGTTAAGTGAATAGTCTTAGATAAGGATCATGGAGGCCTCGGGGTGGGGAGAGGGTTTATTGGAGAGAAATCTTTAACTGGGCTGCAGAAATGGAGCTATATTTTTCAGGCACTGCAACCTGACAAAGATTCCTCCCACTCCCAGGGGGGAGATATTAAGAGAATGAAACTGTTTCTGCAGCCCAACGAAAGAATTCCTCCCAGTGGACAGAGGGGAGGAGAAATCTTTTGTTGTGCTGGAAATCTCAGCTCCACACAGAACTGAGATTTCTATTCCCCAGTAGGCATATCCTTCAGTCAGCCCTCAGAGACCAGAGGAGATCCTTTTGGCAGTAGCTTGCAATCTTCCTTGCCTGCTTCTCTACTGACTTTTTGGGGAAGCTAGCATCAAATGGCTACCAAAAGATTGTAGGATCCCAGACAACCGGTTGCAAGTACGAACAGGTTGCCAAGCATCTGGCTTGTGATCACGTGAAGATGGACTGTATATCACATGAGGATAGCATGATGTTTTACAATGGTCATAAGTGTTTTACAGACACATAAAGCAACCTTTCTGAGATCACTGTACTTTTGAAAGTTGTTAAATGATCAATTGTAAGTCAAGGACTACCTGTAATTTAGCAAAATCAGATTTTGAAGGTTTGCAGTTATATGCAAAACATTTCATTCCAGAGACAGAAGCTGAATTTTCTTATTCTTCACAATATCACATTTATCTCACCTGGGATTCCCAAGATGTGACTCTTGGAACAAGAAATATTTCATAATTCACTCATTAAGTGTTCTACTGGTTTATACTTAATATTACTAATAAAACAATTGTAATGAAAGATGGATGGTCTCTAAATTGAAAAATCACTTCTCAGATCTTATACAAATAATTATGTTTTTAAAAATTATTTTAATTATGTTTTTCTTTCTTAAATGGAAATTTAAAGCCAGATCAGTCTACAGTATTGGTAGTACTAGACTTATGACCACAATTGAGCACAACATTTATGTTGGTAAGCAAGACAGTTATATTTATCATATCCCATTTCTGCCATGGTGGTTAAGCTAATCATTGCAGTTATTAAGTGAATCATGTGGTCATTAAGTGAATCTGGCTTCTCCCATTGACTTTGCTTGTCAAAAGCCAACACATCATTCCTGATCAGTGCAATTATCATTAATACATGCTAGCCCCAAATTCTTGATCACATGACCATGGGGATGCGGCAATGTGAGAAGCCATCATAAAAGTGGGAACAATGAGGCAGTTAAGTTAACTGCCATTCCAACTGTCAACAAACTCAAGAGCTTAAATTCTGCCAGGGGCAAACAAAATTAAAACAATAAAAGTCTCAGTAATGTTGGGGCAAGTCATTATTATATATATTATGTCACAGAATTTCCTCAACATTTACTCATATATTTCTATTTGAAGATGTGCAATGCGAGCGTCAAAATTTAAAGAACAAATTTACCATTTCATTAGGAACATGAGCTCCCCACTGGAATCTGTGGCACCAATAATCCGTTCTGGCTCAAACCCTCTTGCAAACCCTCGAGGCTTTTCAGCCTAAAGAGCGAAATAGAAATTTTGTTATTGCGGCTTTTAGAGTTTAACACAAACAGATCAAGCACTGAATTTAATATGGACCCACAGGTAATACAAAACATTACTTCCAGAAAATGGCTTCTGCTATACTCTAGAAATGAAGGAATCCTAAATTAAGAATGATATCATAAATATAGTGTTAAACGTTTGGAATTTATATTGCTCAAAACTGTTTGATCTCATGAACCCTAATCTCAGGTAATTTTAAGGACAGACCTTTAGCAAAATTAAATGAAGTTGAGCTATCATTTTTGTGAACTGATTCTTCCTTAATGGCAGCTATCAGAGATCATGTATTCCTTGAAATTCTAGGCACTAATGAAACAATGGGCTATATATAAATATTAATGGGATAACAACTATATTATATTGCTATTAAAGTTTTACAGCTATAAATTGGGAGTTTAGCTACACTTCCAAGAATGAATGGGAAAAAATATAACTATAAACAGAAAAAAACAGAAAAGGAGGTAAAAACTGAAATATAAATGTTAAGTACCTGAAAGAATGATGAACAAGATAAAGCAATAAATCTGGGGGAATGAATAAAGTTCTTCAAAATAACAGGCAGCAACAGTTATTTTAAGATTTTTCTGCAGCTCAAAGATGTATACTGTATTCCTGTAAACTATAATTATGCCCCTCTATTTAAAATGTCTATCTAATTCTTTTTTTCTCTTTAACTATAAAGACATAAGTAATCTTGAGTGGATCGTATGTTGAAGGAATCTGACTTACCTCTTCTCTTTTTTTCTTTGGTCTACTTTCTTCCCCCCTATCCTCAGAGTCGGAGTCAGCCTTGCGCTTGCTTCCCTCCAACTTCTCACTTTCATGTGCTGTTTTCTGGGATTGCAGGAACTCTGCAATTAGGTCAGGGCAATCGAGATTCTCCTCTGGCTCCCATGTATTATCTTCACTGCAATGCAACCAAAATACCAAAGTTTGTAACTATCATTTTTTATATTTCTATCATATATAATCAGAAAAAAATATCTGACTGATTATGAGACCTGGAAATGCTTTGCATAATTTAAGAGTAACTTTCTATAAATGGAAAAGTATTACATCTATAGGTTTTGCACCAAAAGGCTTTTTATTTGAAACCAGGAATAAATGCTAACACTTTTATGAGTGCATAACAAAAATCTTTCCTATACATAAACAAGTTACAACTCCTGGGAATATGGTTTAATCTGAACTAAAGCAGAAGGAATGTTGCATGATATACATAGGGTATCTAATGACAAACAGAATCAAATTACCAGGATATCAGTGGTTTTGTTATTTGTGTGAGTCTTGGTTTTATGAAGTGAGAATTAAAATACGGATTTGGGGAGGGGGCTCAAGCTTTTGTGCATTAATAACTAAGGCAGAACAGTTTTTTCATTTTCCTCATTACTAATGAACACATAGTTTATGTAATACTCTTGGAGGACAAGCAGTTTTGGATAGCCCATGTATTCAAGTGCCCCTCAGAGCATGTATGACAGGGACAGTAAATACATCTCTAGAAAAACATATAGAAACATCTGGATATCTCACCAACATAACTAAAATGTGAACAAAGAACTGTGCAAATTGGAAGGTACTCTTTGGGGAAAATCAATCTACATCTGATTTTTAAATACATTATTATCCTGCAGGAACATATACCATGGTTCATATTACCACATCTTTTCCTAAAGTGTCACATTTGCCTGAGGTCTGCCAAAGGTACAACTAAGATAACATAAACTAATATAAAATGTTTAAAAACACAGTGGGGCAGGTTTTAAAGTTCAATCTACCAGTTGAAGTACATTACCACAAGGTAAGATTTTTTAAAAAATTAAACTGGATTTTTAAAAAACCATCATTCTAAGAAATAAGCACAATGGAATGTCAATACAAGGTCTGAAAAACCTAAGTCAGCCAATCTTTCAATAGAACTACAAAATAAAGGAAGTAGCCTTACTCTGAAAAGCCTTTCCACTTAAGCAGGTATTCCACTTTGCCTTTCACTACCCGCCTGTCAAGAACTTTCTCCACCACATATTCCTCTTCTTCCTCTTCCAAGACCTCCTCCACTTTCTTCTTGTTTTGCTTTTTTCCCATTGTGCTCGCCAGCTTTGCGGTTTAAAGGAGGCTGTTACAGAAAATGAAAGAGACATCAGGAATGAAAATGCTGATTGGAAATCTTTTGGAACTACATCAGCAATACTAAATAGAAGTTGCTATATTCTTTTCTACCCAGTGTTCAACCATAAAACAATAATGAAAAAATTAAACTCAAAGATGTTTACATAGGTAGAAATACAATCACAAGAACGCACATGAAATATGTAAGTCTTATCAACATCTATGGTCTACAAATATCTACATTATTGCAATACAGTTAGACTTATATACCACCCTATAGTCTTTACAGCACTCTCCGGGCAGTTTACAATGTCAGCATATTACCCCCAACATTCTGAGCCCTCATTTTACCAACCTTGGAAGGATGGAAAGCTGAATTAATCTTGAGACCTTCAGGATCAAACTTCAGGCTATGGGCAGAATTAGCCTGCAATACAGGACCACTAGGACATAAACCCAAGCTTTGCTGAATGGCTTTCATATGTCCATCATCTGTGATGATTTGATTCAATAGCATAGTCTTTTTAATTAATGGGACATACAGATCAACTCTGGGATCTGATTCTACCAGAATGGCACATGCAACTAAGGCAACAGTTACAGACAGATGACTATAACAAGTTCTATGCAACTTAGTTTTTATTCCAAGAACAGAATACACTGCAGGAAACAGCATTATATTTCAACTTTAAATTTCAGAATGAATTTTTATGTTCAAAGGAAGAAATATTAGCCATTACATTCTTTTTTTGCTATTCTCAGAAAAACCAACAGGTTCTCTACTTATGCTAGAACAATAGTTTGATAAGAAGAGAGAAAGACAACATTATCAAATAGTAGGAACAACATAAGTGCATCCAGCAAGCAAACTAGATTAAACAGCTTGCGTCTACTGGAAATGAAGAATTACAATCTACTGGAAAAAGAAAAGGCCTCCTGCAGACAAAACATGTCACAGCAGGAGGATACACTTGTCTCAGTTGGGGTCTGATAAAAACAGACAAAAGCACAGCTAGGGTTTAGAAAAGGGTCTAGTTTGTAATGATGAATGGTTAGCTAGGGAGATGCCTATGAACAGGGGCTGAGAAGGAAGGAAATTTCTAAACACATTTTATTAAGCTTAAACTGGCTTCCAAATGGTGGGAGCTCTAGTTTTGAGCTGTTCTGAATGTAGCATGGGTTTTTAACATTCTTGGCACACCAACAAATCTTTTTCTGTCTGTACTCCCTTTTCTTTGTATGACTTGGTCTTTTCAATTTCTAAGTTTGAAGCCAGTGAGAATTCCTTTCATGCATTACTATTTCAAAAGCAAAATAAAATATACATGATTAAAATAAGTAAATTATAGAGCTACATCAAAACTACTGTATTTTTCAGACTATAAAACACTCTGGAGTATAAGACGCACCTAGCTTTTGGGGAGGAAAACAAGAAAATAATCTGCTTCTGCCTCCCAGCAATTTGCCTCCTTGCAGCAAAGAGCCTGGTCAGTTTCAGCACAACTTGATTTAGCATGAGCAGCTGATTGGCAGTTGTATCGGCCTCCCAGAATACCGTCTATCAACTGTTCCCGGCTGCAGAGATTGCCGCTGCCACCACCATTTCTGCACATTCCATTTTCCGCCTCAGTGTGTCATTTTTGGCCTGTTCCAGGCAGTGGGGATTGCCGCCACCTATCCCTGCTGCCTGGAACAGAGTGAAAATGGGGCACGCTGAAGCCAAAAATGGGGTGCCCAAAGGTACAGACAGTCCTTGCAGCCTGGAACACCCGATTTGTGGTATTCCGGGAGGCAGACTGATCAGCTGCTCATGCTAAATCAGGCTGTACTAAAGCTGACCAGCTGTTTGCTGCAACGAGGCAAATTGCTGGGAGGCAGAGGCGGAAGGGTGAGGGCTGGCAGGTGGGTGGGCTTCAGCAATATTCGCTCTGTAAGACACACAGACATTTCCACCTACTTGGGAGGGAGTGCATCTTATACACCAAAAATACGGTAATTCAAATTAATGCAATTAAGTGAAGACAGAATTAATTTTCTACAGTACTTGCATATGGATTTAACCAAGAGCATCTGAATTTCCTTGAATTAAGGCTTATTTCTATTTCTATCATATACATATTCCGCTCAAACAGGAAAGGGAGGAACATACACTTTTATGTAGATTTTAATAGTCTTATGTGATGCCAAAACTCAGAAGTCCAAAGTCATAATGAGATGGATATCCTAGAAAACAATTAAGTTTATGTTCCACAAGTACAACAATGTCTCCAGACTGCCTGACTTCTCTTAAGAACTAAATAAGGTTCCATGAAATTCAAGAAGAGTCAGGTTTATCTCTTGAAGTTGCACAAGATCTTGAGGCTATTTCCCTGCTTAATCACTCCTCTCGCCTGGCTCAAGGTTTCCAGACACTTACAGATAATTTTCAGCTTTCTATAGTGTGTAAAATGATATTGTAAGCAAGACATTTGTCAAAACTTACCATTTCAATTAATTACTTTTCCATGATACATCAAACTTTTGTGCTAAAGAGATGGCATGCGTTCAGGAAACATAACACTTTCTCTAGCTTTTCATCTAACGGTACTTCCCATTACAGAAATAGATGGGAAAGGCTACAGCTTTTAATGTTCACATATCTGTGAAATGTGATTACTCTAATATGATTGCGCTTTTCAAGGAATTTATAAAAACAAATTTATCTTTTTTCCCCAATGATATGACACATTCCTTTCAATAAAAATGCTGTTAACCAGAAGGAGCATAATCTGTACAGAAAGATGTAAAAATATTTTTCCTTACTTAGCTTCCATTTCCTCATCTGCCTCCTCCAGATTCTTGAAAGAAGAAAAGCTTAAGGAGAGGATTCAATTATATTTTCCTCTCCTTAACCTCCTGCTTCAAAAGGCCTACTTTATAATAAAAATGAAGAATAGCTTTACCATAGGGTATGTATGTTGGCAAAACTTCCTTCTCCCAATATAATTCATCTTAGCATTAAAAAATATTTTAATTATTTCCCTTTTTTGGCTTCAACTATATACTTTTACTATGAAATTATCCTTTCTACATGTTTTACTTTCTCTTCTCCTTTATATCCATTTGTCACTCTACAATTCTCTAATAAATTAATTTCCCCATCACCAAAACCATATACTTCAAAATGCATTGAGGTTATTTGATCACATATAACTGAAAAAGCAATTAAGTTTCCTTATTCATATACAGGTAGACCTTGACTTATGACCACAACTGAGCCCAAAATTTCTGTTGCTAAATTAGACAGTTAAATGAGTTCTGTTCCATTTTATGACCTTTCTTGCCACAGTTAAGTGAATCACTGCAGTTGTTAAGTTACAGAGCTGTAAAGTGAATTTGACTACGCTATTGACTTTGGTTGTCGGAAGCTCGCAAAGATGACCACATGATCCTGGTACATGGCAACTGTCACAAATATGAACCAGTTGCCAAGCATCTGAATTTTGATCACTTGACCAAGGAGATGTTGCAACATTTGTATGTGTGAAAAACAGTCATAAGTCACTCTTCAATGCCATTGCAACTTTGAATGGTCACTAAGAAAATGGCTGCAAGCCAAAGACTACCTGTAATAGAAACCAAACAAAAACAAAAGTGTATAGTTTAAGTAGGCAGTATTTAAGATATCAAGACAATCAAAGTATGTAAATAACTATAAAAATGGAAAATGAAGTCAAATATTTGCAATTTATTTTCAAAATAAATAACAATTGCTGTAACAAGAGGTTATAATGATACAACACAAGCTTGGGCTATAATTTCAAATGTGCAGCATAGTTCATTTATTTTTATTATTATGGGAGGGAGCCCTACAAATTGCTTACTAATTTCATTTCATGACCCTATATTGCACCACAATTAAATTCCCATTAGATACTCAATGCAAACATATTTTCATTTAATTACTATCCTACAAATTTCCTTCTCATCAATCTTGCCAAAAAATACTGCCAGGTATATCTAGATCTAATTATACTATCTAAGTAGAAAAGTGAAGAGGAAATGGGCATAATATTAACTAATAATTAGTTAATGTAAGAATTAATTCATTTTCAATTATTAATCATTTCTAAGCATAAAATGCTGAATATTGGTAATAGGTTACTAGTTCTTGGTCCATATTATTAACACATAAACAATTATATTGGATAATGAGTGATCCGTTTTCCTTGTTTTTTTGCAGAGAAAAGTGCTGTAATCTTTCATAAGGATATCAGTTCTAATGGACTATGTATATATTAATCTGAGTTTTCATTTAAACCTGGGTATGTTAAGAGGAAAAAAAGATTAACTGATAACGCAAGAGTAACTAATGAATTGGATTAAACTTCTGCAGACTGACAAGAGTTCAAAGTAAAGTATTTATAGAATCCCTATGTATCTGGAATGTGAACATCACTTTTTCCCTGGTAGTTCAAATTGATACACATAATACAGATATTCCTTGACTTACAATCATTTATTTTATGTATGTTTGAAGTTACAATGGCATTGAAAATAGTGATTTATGGCAAGTTTAAACACTTACAAAACCATTGCAGCATCTCAGGGTCACATGATCAAAACTCAGGCACCGGATAACAGAGATGGTATTTAAAACTAAGGACTATGACTCAGCAACTACAGACAGCCAATCACAACCCAAAATCAAACCACCACTCAGAAAGGAATTTAAAGGCCAGTACTCCCCTAGACAAGCACAATCCAAAGCGCACTGAAGGTCTCCTCGAATGGGGACAAAACATTTGCAACCAAATCATCAAGCTTGGAGCTCAAACCAATAACATTACTGGATAACTGCCATACACTATAATAATTTATTGTCAAATTCACTTAACCATATGATTCATTTAATAACCATATGATTCACTTAATAACTCATAATTCACAGCTTAACAATGTGGTAAAAAAGTTATAAAATGGAACATCATTCACTTAATGCCTTGCTAGCAATTGTGGTCCTAAGTTGAGGACTACCTGTACTCTCATCCCATTTTATTTTATTTTCACATCCTGACCAAGGTGAGTAACTATCTACCCAATGAATGCAGACTTGAACCTGGGTCTCTCTGGTTCTTGTCCAACCATCTTAACCATAACACATTATATTCAAGTTCATACTGTTACATTTGCAATTTAGGGTTTCATGGTTTATTATACTGTAAACTAACCTTGTGAACATGAATTAGTACTGAAATCCCAGGAGCAAGTACTTACTATCAGGAGCAGCAAAATGATTGAGTGTTCAATGAAGGGCTCCTGAAACAATTGAGCAGGGTTGCAGATACTGCTCTTATCAGCATCACTGAGAGTGTCTGTTTAACTCTTTGGATCTGCATACCTAGGTGCATTAAACATACATCAATGTTGTAAACGAATAGAGTATTAAACCTGAACTGGGGAAACCTAGGCTCAAGTCAGATAAGAATACTACAAGTTACCTTAGATCAGTTAATATAGTACATGTCTGATCTAGTTGTACTGATGATAAAGTATGACAAAAGCAAACTCCTGACCAAAATGTAGTAAAACAAATACAAGTTAGTATTTTACAGCATAATCTATCACAAATATTTAATATATCCTATGTGTAGTTCCATAAATGTATTTGTAATAATATTCCACCATCATAAATACATTTCACATCAATTTTTAAGACATAGACCTGGAGGTTCTTTTTACCAATTCTTTCAAGATCTACTGACTTCTTGCTAACCAGCAAGAAGCGGCTTGACTATGCTCCAAATAATGTCATGTATTCATTGAACAGATTCTTCTCACTATCAACAGCTTTTGGGAATGTCTAGGGCTATGCAAGTCTCTATAGTGTACATGTTATCTACAGAAAAATGAAATGAAATGTCATATTAATCTCCCACCAATCTTAAGGGTAAAAAAATCCAACTTAGTTCCTGAAGATACAAATCTACTCCATCCCTGCTTATATTTCTCTCCAATAAAAAAGAGAAGCCTCCAAGAACTCGCTAGTTTTCTTTTGGAGCATCTTTCTCAGTCAGAAAGACTGGATCCCCCCCACCCCCAAATCAGGTGTTCATCTATTTGAAACCCAACACTTTCATCTTTCTCTCCTATTCCCCAACTTCTTTATATAATTAATCTTCCATTTCACCGGTATGAAGCACACATTTAACATTTTCAATTACACATTCAATATTTGTTTTCTGAAAAGCACGTCCCACCAACGATAACCTGTACAGCCCTCCATCGCCTGCTATGTTTTACAGTGCATCTGAATACAGTAGTATACATACCTCTGCCTTACTCAGCCTAAAACCTACTTTAGTCTGAGGCTAAAGCCAATTTCCTTGTATTTATTTTGTACAATGACAATAAAGGCTATGCTATGCTATGCAACTTCTTCAGGCGAAGTGCGCCGCCATAATCCGTCGCGTATCAATTTCTTGTCCTTCCCCTTTAAGGCCAAATTAGGTTTCTAACCTCAGCCATATTATACGTTTCGTCCCCGTCCCCCCCCACGGCGGAAGACCGTTTAGAATCCTGCAAGATCTCGAGATCTCCAGAAACCCCTCTAGAAACCTTTGCAGCCCACCCCCAATATGGCCGCTTCGCCCTCATAAGCCGCGCGCGAGTTATCTGGCAGCCCTCCACCCTGCTCCCTTCTCCCCTCTTTACCTTGGTTAGCCTCGCCAAGACCCCACAAGTGGAAATGTAAAGATAAAAAGAAGCACGGAGAAGCGGAGGAGCCTCGGCTGCAGTGGACGAAAGAGCAGGTCCCCGCTTCTGAAGTAAGAGGAGGAACGGCTGGGAAAAGGGCCTCTCGCGTTCGATCCGCCTCCGCCAAACAAAAGAGCGCTGAAACCCCTCTACCCGCCGAGATCAACTGCGCATGCTCTCGGCAAGTCGACGCCCCCCTTTTTTTTAAAGCTTTCGAAGTTATCCTACCCCGCGGCATCCTGGGACCGGATATTGTTTTTTCCTACCCTGCTCATAGACTTAATCTAAACCAGCCTACATATTTTTTTTTAGAAGGAAAAATGAGACTTGTTCATGAAAACAAAGACGAAGTTTAGAATTTTGGGCAACTGGCTGATCAGGGTTAACATAATCTTTCCCAAGGAGCCGGTTTTGTTTCATTGCACTGTCAACTTGATTTTGTTTTTAATAATTTCATATAAATTGATTCCATAGATTTTAGTTACTAGAAAATAGAATAGAATTCTTTATTGGCCAAGTATGATAAAAACACAAGATACATTCGTCAAGAATCATAAGATACAATACTTAATGATAGTCAGAGCGTACAAATAAGTAAATAGGAAATAATATCAATATAAATCATAAGGATACAAGCAACAAAGTTACAGTCCTGCAGTCATAAGTGGGATGAGATGGGTGATAGGAACAATTAGAAGACTAATAGTAGTAGTAATGCAGCCTTAGTGGATAGTTTGACAGTGGTGAGTGAATTATTTGTTTAGCAGAGTGATGACATTTCGCTCAAAAACTGTTCTTGTGTCTAGTTGTCTTGGTGTGCAGTGCTGTATAGTGTCATTTTGAGGATAGGAGTTGAAACAATTTATGTCCAGGATGTGAGGTAGAGGTTGGTTGGTGCCGGTTCTGCCTGAATCAGGCGCCGCTTGCTTTTGTTTTGCGGCAGGAGAAGGAAGACGTCTTACGCCAGGTAGTGAGGGAGGGAGGCAAGAGTGGCGGTGGTGGTCCCTTTCAAGCACAGCACACGGAGGCGGTGGCCAAGGCGGCCCCTGTTGGTGGGGAGGGGTGGTGATCGCTCGGCCAGGGCCATCTCGGCGTGGGCTGCATCAGCCTGTCTGCCCGTGCCATGTCCTGCTCCGGCTAGCCGCACGACTACCAAGTGCAGCAACCTGGTCTTTGCCAAGATGAAGTGGCACCACCCAGGCCGAAGAGAAAGGGTGATGGGCTCTGCAGACGGACCTGGCCTGATCCCCACATGAGGGGCTGCTGCCCACCGGCCCACTGGCGGATTTCGCACTTCTCCGCTTCTTCACCAGTGGGAAGCGGCTCTGCAGCCGACTCTACTTCCTCCAAGTTCCCGTAGTCTCAGCAGTCAGCAGGCTGATCTGCAAAGAGAGCAGGCAAGTGGCTGGGTAGGCAGCCAGTGGGCTGCTTCGAAGCCTGAAGTCCTGCAGAACCGGCATAGAAGGCACGCATTCCTGGATAGAAAGCAGCCTTTTCTGCAGCATCCCCATCCCCTCTTTGGATCATCCTGTAGCAGGGGAGCTATGCCTTTGCAGAAATGGGACAGGTGCATGTGCAGCAACCCGAGATGTATACTTGCCCTTCCGCAGCACCACTGCCACCACTCCTCTCAGCTCCAACGCAGCATCTGCATTTCCACCAAGGGCTGCCCAACCACCAACCACCGAGGCCGGGTTGGACGCTGACCCAGGAAGGCAAGCGGGCATAGGGGACCACCAATAAGGCCACATGGAAGGCAGGCAAGCATGGCAGGGCTGTGGGGAAGTGAGTAGGCTGCTTGCTCCCTTTCCTGTGGCCCCGACATGCTTGCCTGCCTTTCACCTAGCTTTCTGTGTGCCTGCCTTTCAAAGCTGGTCCCAGGGACACCAAAAAGACTGTGAAAGGCAGGGAAGCAGGGGAGGGCCGCATGGATGGTAGTAGGCTGCTTGCTCCTTTCCCTGCAGCCCTGCCATGCTTGCCTTCCTTCCACAAGGCATTCTGCTTGCCTGCCTTTTCAAGCTAGCCAATGGGATGCCAGGAAGGCCTTGTGGAAGCCAGGGAAGCATGACAGGACCATGGGGAAGCAGGCAGGGGCAGCTAGCTAAGCTGCTACTTGCAGACTTACCTGGCAAACAGATCAGGGGCGCAGCACTTCAGGCAGGCAAGCTGCAGAGCAGAGACTGGGTGGGGCAGGGTGAGCAAGCGGCAACTGGGGGACCGGTTTGGGGGCATGGCCAGCCAGCGTACCGGTTTTGCGACCTAGGCAGCATACAACTACTGGTTCGGCCGAACTGGTAGGAACTACCTCTGCTCCACACTGTCCATTTTGGATGCAAGATAAGTACAGGCCCCATGCGGGGGCTTGGGGAGGGGGGAAACAGGCCTCCTGGAGGTTTCAGGCCTCCAGAGGGCCTCCGGAGCCTGAGGGAGGCGTTTTTTGCCCTCCTAGAGACTCAAGGAAAGCCTCCAGAGCCTGGGGGAAGTGAAAACACCCCCCTCCATACGGTGCAGGAGGCCGAGAAGGCCATGCCCACCATGGCCACGCTTATCCAGCAACCAGGCAGAAAACCCGTTTCTGAAATTTTTAAAGCCCACCCCTGCCCTCAGAACTTCATCAAAAAGTTCATATCACTCATTGAAATAGCATAGACAAGTCAGCTTACCAAAGGATTGCCCTGTCTTACATAAATACAATTTCAAAGACCACCACCAGGTTACTAGAATAACTATGCCAATAAATCCATGGAGCATATATTCTAGGCCATGGATGGCAAAATCTTTGGGCTTGGCATGTCAAAAATTCGGAAAATGCTGAACTGCTGGTGTGTCATCTCCCACCCCTGAATAAATGATATAAATAAATCATATGTTTAAAAAATACAGTCCAATCATATGTGATTCTATGTATTATGTAAAAAAGATCAAATAATTAAAAAATTAAATAAGAGAAACAGAACAAACTCATTCTGGGCAGGTCTAAAGGCCACACAAGAGCACAGTTCTCTCATGCAACTTCTGGAGTTAGAAGTAGCGTGACCCGTCCAAACCGCGGAGGACAAAATCGCGCTCGACGAAAGCGCGCATGTGACATCATCACAGCGCGACGAAAAAAAATAAAAATTGAAATAAAATTAAAATTAAAGCAAGCCGATTCACATAAAGGTAAGGGTTAGGTTTAGGGTTAGGTTTAGGGTTAGGTTTAGGGTTAGGTTTGGGGGGGTTAGGGTAAGGTTTTCGCTTTATTTTTACATTTTCCCATCACAGCGCGATGTTTTCGTCGCGCTGTGATGACGTCAAATGCGCGCTTTCGTCGAGCACGATTTTGTACTCCGCGGTTTTGTGGTGGAACCAGAAGTAGAGGTTTTGAAATCAGCCAGGATGAAAAATGCAAGACAATTCCTAGAAGCCTGGCCCTCCAACTATGCTGCAATAAACAGCATAAAACTTAAACTCTATTTATGACTCTATCAAAGGATATTCATATATAAATTAACTGCCACACAGGAAACTCACATATATTCATTGGCATGTAAACTAACTGCCACACATGGAACTCCTCCACTCTATCATGAACATAACTGACATAACAGAAAGATATTCACAATCTTGCCAATCAGGAAAACTTATTTCCTCACATCTTTACCATTGCTGATATTACCTAACATGGCAATGGAATTTTGCAACCTAGAAACCTAGCTCCTAACAGCAGAACATTATTCTTTACTATGGCAATTTTTGAGTTCTCAGTTTCTTTTTTTTTAATAGTCAGCGGTTGCATAAACCCACGTTAAATAACAGCTGTGGTTTTTATTTGGAATTGTTAAATTAATTTGTAATATTCAAATACTCAATCTTCTTTTAGGCAACACAACCATTTTAGCAATGAATACGATTAGAATTTTCTAATCCTCTCAATTTAGATGTTTTAAGAGTGAAAGGTTTTTTGGGGGGGAAATGAACTGTGAGAAGGATCTAGGTGTCCTAGTAACCACCACTTAAGTATGAGCCAGAAGAGTACTGCAACTGCCAAAAAGGCTAATGCAAGTCTTAGACTGCATCAACAAAGTGATAGTTTCAAGATCATGTCAGGTGATAATACCACTTTATACTGTACTGGTCAGACCAAGCTTGGAATGCTGATCATCATGATACAGAAAAGATATTTGGACCCTAGAAAGAGTGAAAGAAAAGCAATGAAGATGAAAAAGATCTGTAAGCTAAACCATATGATGAACGACTGAGGGAATGGGTATGTCTAGTCCAACAAAGAGAAAGATGAGGGGTGACATGATAACAGTTTTCCAGTACTCAAGGAGCTGTCAAAGAGAAGAGGGGATCAACCTATTCTCCAAAGCACCTGGGGACAGAACAAAATCATTAAAGAAAGATCCTACCTAAAACTAAAGAGAGATTTCCTGACAGTGGGAACAAGTTTATTAATTTACTGATTGATTGATTGACTGACTGACTGATTGACTTATTTGTCACCATTGCACTTCATGGGATTCTAAGAGGCATGCAAACACTACTCAGTGGAACAGCTTACCTCCAGAATTTTGGATGCTACATCACTGAAGTTTTTCAAGAAGAGAGTGGATAGCCATTTGTTTGGAATTTCTTAATCACTAGACCAAACTGGCTCGTTATTGTCTCTTGGACAAACTTAACATCTAGGAGGTATGGGAATATATGTGTGTGACCATAGTAATAGCTTCAGGAATAACCTTGTCCAAGAATAACCCTGTCCAGGAATAAATTTGTCCCCAAAAATGTCAATTTCCTTGAAATGATAAAACTTCCTCCATGTAACAGGTCAAAGCCATGCAAAAATAGGGTCTGCCCAACAGAGTCCAACAGAGCAGATCTGTACAATATGTAGAAGAGTAAGCAACAGAAAATGCAGAATCCTGTTAAAAACAAAAATATGGTCAAATAGAAAAAGTGCTGCTGATGAATATTTGATGTAGAGGGTTTTCAGTTATATCCATACAGGAAATAAAAGTGAAATCAAAGGCCAACTGAGATACTGTAATTATGAGAAAACTTCTTAGTGTACCATAATAGCTTCATCATTGAGATCTGATGTTGTTATGGGAAAGCTCTTACTTTAGCAAGAATACTTACTGTATTCTTTTCATTGTGGAT